TCTGGACAGTGATCATTGTACAATCCAGACTGTGATGCAAACCATATATGACCAGTCATGTCAAGTATCCAATCAAATATCCAGTCATGAATACAACCAGGAATACAAACTCGGGTAGTCCGAGTATCGATCAACAACTGCAATCGATATCAAACTATCATGCACAATCGATTGTAATCCACACCAGTTATAGTCAATCACACATGTCACACATGTCATGGTGTATGTATATCCAATGTCAAATGACGATTATATTTTATTGCAAGTTGAATCAGAATGACAGTTGAAACAGTTGAGCCAGATCAGATTAGAATTCAAATCAATTGTATTAATTGATACGCCTGATTCGATTGACAAGCGATCTAAGCCTACCACCAAGTCTGGAGAAACCCTCACGTATACCAGAGGAAGCTCTTTGCCCAAAGGAACGAGATTCAGGCGGCATTACTGGTAATTCTTGTGTGATTTGTTGTTGCTCTTGTTGTGGGGTTTGTTTAGCACCAGAATCTTGACCAAAGCTATTTTTGCATTTTGATGATTTACCGACACATAGTCCTTGAAGATATTCCCTAACGACAGGATGTGAGTCGATACGCGAAAGTAGCTCATCAAGTGGTCGGGAATTCCAAAGGTCTCCGAAAAGATACTTTAGGAGTTCCTCTCGTAGGAGATTCAGTTCATAAAGAAAGCGATTACAGTGAATATTGCACTCCTTTTCTGATTTTTCAAGCTTGGCAAGTTTGGAATTTCCGTTTCGAAGATTACGCTCAACCTCCTGAAGTTTAACATTGTATCTTAGATCGCCATTGTTTTTCAAAAGTGCATTTTTGGACTTTTCAACTTTTATTTCCTGAAGTTTGACTTCTTTCTGCTGCTTATAAGATTTAATCTCTGTTGCTTCGCATATAATTTTTTGTTGAGTATAAACATGCTGTTTTTTTACGATTTTTTTGAGCAAGCTCTTCATGTCAACTGAAAGTGAAACAAGACCATCCAAGTTTACACCGTCTGTAATAGGAGTTGCAGAAGGGTTAGACTCGGTACTTGTAGTTGAACTGGGAGCAGCTGTCAAAGAGACATGGTCTGTACTTGCAGTCGTACTGGGAACAACTGGATTGGCGATAGTAACTGAACAAACAAGCAGGATTGATGATAGTACAGCAACTGATAGTTTCATTTTACTGGTTTGATTAAAAAAGTTGCAGACGATTATCATTCAACAGGTTGGGTCTAAATTGTATTTATATCAGCTATTGGATGTATAGTGTTGAAAGCATATTTCTTGGGTAGCCTTCCTAAGGGATTAGTGCTACTGACAGGGTTGGTAGCAGTTTGTTGCTATCAGTGTCAAACTTTAAAGGACCTGCTTTTATATGTTGGCCTGTAACCTTTGTCGAGCCGCTGTTCGGATATACATCCAAATGTTGTATGATCGATTGTGTAGCTTCCCGCCCTTATTTACCCCAAAAGGGTCAGTGAGCTACAGCCTAGGAAACCAGTACAAGCCAAGACTCTATGCAACTGAGCTGACATTCAGTTATTAGTTGATCATCAATGTGTTGTGATATTGTATGGTTTACAATCACAGTTGATTGACATGATTCAACTACAATGTCACATTGATGATCAGTGACTTGCA